GGGGTAGCCCCCAGCATATTGCATGGCAACCCACAGCCTCACTTTCTCCCACCTATAAATGGGGTCATCTCTTCCTAGTGGTAGAAGAAGATCTGGTGCTTGGAGATGCCCAGATAAGAGGGACAAACACTGCCAGCGTCATCATCTGGATCAAGGTGGGCAAGTTGAGGGCCGTCAGGCTCCAGCCAACGCTTTCAGCTGCATGTAGATTAATTATATGCCATTTTCTAATTATACCAGAAACTCACTTTCCCTTGGAAAAATTCTTCTGTGGGAATTTTTCTTTTGTGCTCTATTCTCCTCTTGGCTTCCTGTCTAATTTTCCTATTTTTTTTTCTATTGTTCAATAAAGTTGTGAAAGCAGTTAAAATCTACCTCTAAACCCAGGCTGCCACATCTTTTCATTCATTCACTCACTCACTGATTCATTCTACAAACAGTCACTGTAACAGGCCCTGTGCTCAGTACTGGGACACAAAGGTAAACACCACAGTCTCTGCCCTCAAAAGTTCCCAGTTCTTGCTGACCTCCTAGCAAGTCCAGTGAAAAGACACCCAATATTGGTGAGATAATTATCCTTCAGAACCTTCACTAGATCATTTGCTCTGACCCTTTGAGGAGGCAAAAGGAATAGAGAGAGGGAGGCAGCCAGCCAAGATTATTTGTTCCATTTTACAAACCAGAAAGCTGAATTCCAGAAAGGAGAGGGAAGAGAAGGGGAGGAAAAGGAGCCAAGTTATTTAATAGGGTCAGGCCCTGTGCCTTTCCTTCTCATACATGCCCATGGGAGGTGGGTGTTATTACTGTCACCTTATAAATGCAGAAACTGACATTTCTAGAGGTGAAGGAGCTCTACCAAATGTCACCCAGTCTGTAAGGGCAGAGCTGGGCTCAAACACCAGCGAAGTTCTCAGCCTGCTGACTCAGCAACTACGCTGCAGGTCAGCGGTGGATCTGGGAATATCCTGCCTCCCAATTCTCTGCCAGGACTTCTAGGCCAATGGTTCTTCAACTTGAACATGCATCAGAATCACCTGGAGGGCCTGTTAAAACACACACTGCTGAGTCCTACCTCTGCCACTGCCCCCCCCCCCCCCAGGTTCTGATTCAGTTGGTCTGGGTGGGGCTGATAATTTGCATTTCTAACAAGTTCCCAGGGAACGATGATGATGATGATGATGATGATGATGATGATGATGATCATGGTCCAGAAACCACACTTTAAGAATACTGTTTTTAGGTAAACCAATAATTTTCTCTTTTAAAAATTACTTCCTCTCCTCCCCCTTCCCATTTGAACAGTAACGTAGGTTTGTAAAACACAACGCATAACACATGGGAACAACTGGAAGTAGATCCGAGAATTCACCTGTATTCCTCCACTCAGAGATCATCACTGTTAACACTGTGGCACACCTCCTTTTTTCGGTTCCTCTGCAGCTACACGCAGGGAGGCATATTGGTGTGCAGCATCCTTATGGCGCCTGGGTTAAGATCCCAGCTGTTCCGTGAAATCCTGGGCAAGCTGGAGGCAAGCCTCAATCCCCTTCTTTGCAAAATTGCACTTACACTCCCCACCCCTCGCTGGATTATTGGGAGAGTTAAAGGAAAGAATGCATTTATCAAGCACTGGACACTGTGTCTGCAGTGGATTCCACGCTCAATAAATGGATGACTGTTATTTTTGTTTTCACCAGGTAGAGCTCCGACTATGCTAATTGGGCTCAGCCCTGCGGCCCTTCCTCCCCCTCCTTTTCCTCGGTGTGGATCCCGGAGACCCTGTAGGCTCCAGACACCCGTCGGGGGGCCCTCACTGGAAGTGGCAGAAGCCTCCGGCGTGTCCCGCGCCCGTGCCCGGGGTCGCCAGCGCCGTTAGGGTTGTCTCAGCCTCTCCGCCCAGGCCGCCTGTTTTACAGCCCGGGCTTAATGAGGGCTTTTAACTTTTCATTCACCACCGGCGTAACTCCGACTTTTAATAACACACCTTGTGCACGACAAAAATTTGCTCCTGGCAATCATGGTTTCGACCACAAAACCACAGCGGGGAGGCGTTCCTGGTTAACTCTTTCAGCGCTCCAGGCCGTCTGGAGACAGCGCTCCTGGAAATCAGATGGAGTCTCGCCGAGCCCGAGGCCGCAGACTGGGAGGTTCTGGGCCCCTCCCCGCCCTGGGTCGCGGCTCTCCAAGGCTTTGGGGAAGGAGAAGACTCCAGTTGCCGTGGGGCCCGGGCTGTGGACCCGGCGAGGTTGTAGAGGGGAATGCGGGTGGGCCTCGCTCACTGCCCTCTCCATTCGGTGGACCTACTATGTGCTCATCACTTCTGCTCAGAACTCTCATTTCCTCGAGGGGCAAGATGAAATAGCACAGGGGCGCCTGGCACACAGTATGCCCTCGGCACCCCTACACACAGAGCTCCAAGGGTCCCGGAGGGCACCCCGGCTAAGGCCCAGGCGATGGCTGCCAGGTCTGTAGCCCCGACGGCGGCCAGTGCGCAGGCGCCCGCCGCCAGGGGAAGACTTCCGGCAGCGACTTCCGGTGCTCCCCGCTGCCCCAACATCCCTTGCGACCCGCTCTAGCTCCCGGGCTGCCAAAGGCCACGGGCTGGCGGCAGTGCTGGCGCAGGCGGAGGGCTGGAGGCTGGCCCACGCTCCCCAGCGGGCTGGGCCCGGCCACATGAAAGTCCCCGCGCTCCACCCGCCAGCTGCCTGCAGCGGGGTTCTCACTGCGCCGCCCCGGCCTCCATGCACGTCAAGACCCGGCCTTGGCTGCGGGCCTTCCACCAGAGGCCTAGCAATCAGGCTCGCGTTCATGGAGCTCCTAATCTGGACCGAGTGGCCCACGCACGGAGCCCATTGTCCCCCTGCCAGGTAGGTGTGTATCGTCCCTCCGGGACAGAGGCGGACACTGAGGGTCAGTAAGGAGAAAGAAATTCACCAGGACCCTGCAGTTGGCAAGTGACAGAATTTGGAGTCATATGCAAATCCTGCTTTCGATGGGCCCCAGGATGGACCCCAGGATCAGTCCTTCACTGGGCACTTTCTAGGGGAAAGAGGCACCAGCGGCAGCCACTCGAAACCTGCAAACCAAGCACTTGATGCCCTGAACCCTACTCCCCCCCACCCCCCCCCCCACTACGGCACCCCCCCTCCCCCCACCCACACACCGTAAGGGCAGCTGAGCCCCCAGGCACTGGGGCTCTGCCATTGTAATCTTAAATGCTGGCTTCAGAGTCGGTCTGCAATTACTCTGCAGGCTCAGGTCCCCGCACCCCACCCCACGTGGAGAAGCCTTAACTGTCAGCGGATCTGACTGCAAACTCAAACCATTAAGGAAGAGACAAACAGGAAGCCTTTCTGTTGGAGCAGCCCAGCTTCAGGACACTTACCCCCTAAGGAGCATCAATGAATAGATTTCTGTCTGCAGCCACTGCAGTTTTAAGCCCCGGATCTAAGTGCACTAGAGACACCTCACAAATTTTTATTTTTTCGAAGTGTGGAGAAATAGGAAGCGAAAAGTTCAGAAATGTTCACTGATAGGGTATTTGTATATGAGGTACCAAGAGTATTATTAGCTTGCTGTTTACCAGGTTTTAAACTGATCACTTTTTAAAAGTTGTTGGATTTCCCCCAATAGTTCCCGGAGGTGGGGACCACTATGGCCACAGTTGACAGGTGAGAGAACTGAGAGTGAGAAGTGATTTGCCCCAAGTCACACAGCTAAGAAGTGGCAGAGCTGGGACTTGAACCCAGATATCGGTTCCAGTGCCCCTGCTCTAATTCCAGTTGTCAACACATTGTCAACCTCAGGGAATTCATTCAAGAGAAATCTGATGCCAAGTGATTGTAGTATGAACGTAGGTGGCTAACCTAAGAGCTAGCTGGTCTCACAGAACACTCTGCAGTCAGGACCCACCAACTGCTCTGCCCTCAGGTCTTCACGTTTTAAAAACAATCTATTGAGGAGTAGCTAGAAAAAAAAGATTGTTCAAACCTTGTCTCTGCCCACTCACCTCTGAGGGTGGCAGGAAGAGGTGTGTTTTAGAAGCCTGGCTTCTGAAAGCTCCCTTAAGCCAAGCTAAAAAGCAGCCCAGAATCCCAGCCTCATCCCACCTTCTCTGAGGTCCAGACACCAAGCAGGGGGTGGTCAGCATCAGCCAGTGGGGATTCTAAGTCCCAGATGTGGGCAGGAAGGCACCAGAATCCTGCCAGTTAATAGAGATGACTTCACTGAAAACCTCACCCTTAGAACTGCCTCCGAATAAAATCAACCACATTTTATCGAATGCGTCCTCAGACCTTGGCTCTTTGCTAAGCATTTTACAACCTCTTTCACACTTAACTCTCAAGGATCCAACAAAGCATTATTGTACCCGTTTTTTCAGGTGAGGAAAATGAAGCTCAGATAAGTTAAATGACTTATCCAAGATCACACAGCCCATGAGGAGCAGACCCGGATTCGAACATACAGAGTACAGAGTGGGTGTGTTTAACCATCACACTGTAACCGTCCCACTTGAGACTGTTCCAACCCAACAAACAAGTCCCTTTGGAGAAATCCAGCTCTCTGCCTAAGGCAGCTCTTAGAACCACCTCTTTTGGCAAGAACATAGAAAGCCCAGAAGGAATGGGGGCTGTCTCTGATTTCCAAGGCCCCTTCAGAGTATCCGAACGTGGTGCTGAAAGCCGCAGTCAGTTTCAGTCCTGTGTTTCCCTACCTGGTTCGAAACTGCTTAGCAGAGAGAGAGAGAAAAAAACCAACAACACAAAACTATTTTCCCAGGGAAACACTCAGCTCTCACTGGAGACGGTGCTTGCCTCTACACGCCAAAGTGAGATCCTCAGCCCATTCATTTACCCGTACAAATTGCTCTGTGAATCCTGGCGCCGGCGGCCTCCCTGCTCTTTCCCCTTCTGGAAATCCCATCCAGCCTCCACGCTCAGAGAGCGCCAGGCATCCACCGATGTTTACTCACTCAAGTTCATTCGACATCTTCCTGGCTCCCAGGCTCCAACGACAGGCACCGGCACCCGAGACTCTGCTGACTGCTCTTGACTCTATTTCTTGCCTGACACAGACATTCCCTGTCCAGGGAAGTGTTTGATTTATGTTGGGGTTGGAGTGTCGGGATTTTGCTGACAGGTAGGTTCCTGGCAGCGCTGGTGCTGATTGGCTACAAGCACAGGTGCCGGGCGACAGCAGGTATACCTCAACAGGTGCAGCTGTTAACTCTTGGCCTGCCGAGTTGGGGGCGGAGCCATGGGGGCCGGCTGGGTGGAGCTGGCCAATTCCTTCCTTGGTGAGGGGGTGGGGGGTGGAGATGAGGGAGGAGAGAGGGAGGGGAAAAATGTTGGAAAGAAGATAGCTAGAGGAAAAGTACAGTGACAAACAGATACTTGGCTGAAGGAAATTTCAGTTCCTGTTTCTGGTTTTGTATTCTAGCTACCCAGGAACATCTCCCCCCAATTCTTTTGCTCCCCTTCTTCCCCCAGCATCATACTTCACAACCACTGGGGAATTCTCAAAGGAGAGAGATCTTCTACCTGGTGGGTCTCTGTGTAAATCCCCCTCCCCCAGATTATTGTCACATTTATAGATGAGGAAATGGAGGCCAGAGAGGTGAAGTGACTTGCCCAAGGGCACAGGGTAGTGAGTTGTCAGAGTCCAGATCTGAACCAGGCACCTTACTCCAAGTCTGGCTGTCCCTTTGAGCTTCACCCAGTGGCCTCAATTTAACAGACATTCATTGAGTACCTATTGTGTACCATGCCCTACTCTGGGTCTGGGGAGACATAGGCTAAAAAGACAGGATGAATGTTCTGGAGGAGTTTACAATCTGGGGTGTGTGTATGTGTGGGTGGCATGGGGTGGGGGAGTAGGGTGGGTGGCAACCTTTTATTTGCTGTGATACAGATCTGAATGAGATGTAAGCAAACCACATACCTTTGGCCAGCACGGAAGGGATGGAAAAGTTGAAGTCAGCCACCTCCAAAGCCTTAGCAAGCTGGTCATTTCACAAATTCTAATAAGTGCGGCATGCCGCCATGGAAACAGGAGAAATCAGGCTTCGGTTAGACTGAGTAGCTGTGGAATAATCACCGTGAGCTGTCTCTCTAAGAACAAGGTTGGTAAACCCAGAAGATCCACAAACACAAACAGGAGAAGGCTAGAGCTTTCTTCGGAGCTTACACCAGGATTAATTTGAAATTAAATTTAAGCCAAAGATCTTGGCATCTTTTTTCTCCCTTTCTCTCCTTCTGTCCCCCTCCCCCCCCCGCCCCCTTCTCTTTTGGCAAATTATTTCTTTGCTTTGCCTTCCTGAGAGCCTTGCCTTGGCCCACTCCTTTCTCTCGGGGGAAGGCGAGGTTTCAGTTACTCCTGCCAACTTGATAGAGGTGTTCGGGGTAAAGTCAGAATCCAAAGGAGCCCTCTTGGGATGGGGTCAGGCCTCTGGAGAGGGGGTCCTAGGTTTGAAAACTCAGAGGTGGGTCCCTCACTGGAGGCTGTGTGGGGGCTGTCTTCAGGGAACTGACAAATACAGTAAGCAGTCATTACAATTGCTAATAAAGCCACCTCCTCTGAGCAGGCCTCTCCGCCCACCGATTACCCTTGGCATTTAGTCACCGTATCTCTTCACTTTATTTTGGTTCTCTGCAAGGCCCGCAGGACTTTCTGATCGTTTTCTTAGTGTTTATTGTCTATTTTCTCTTCTGGAATGTGCACTCCATAAGAGCAAGGACCTTGTCTGTCTTGTTCACTGTTGAGTCTCCAGTGCCTACTACACTGTCGGGCATACAGTAGGTGCTCAATATACCACATTGTGCTAAGCCTCCTCCACTGTCTCATTTAATCCTTACAACAGCCCTTTGAGATAGGCACTTTTCTTATCCTTGTTTTAGAGATGAGGAAAATGAAGTACTAAGTGATCAAATAAGTCACTCAAGATGAGCCTGGAGATGGTAGAGCTAGAGTTGGAATGTGATCCGAGAGCGGAGCCTGAGTGTCCAACTGCTTCAGGGAGGTTATTGGTGGTAGGAGGGCCTTTTCGTGCGAACCGTAACTGCAGAGCTCACTGCAGCTCAAAGGATGGCACCCTTGTCTGTGTATCTGTCTGCCCACCTGGAAGGCTGTGGAGTTTCTGCCAGCGTGTTGCAATTCACAGGTTAAGGGCTCTGGGGGTGACTCATACCGGCTGGGCTCAGGTGGAGACTGGGACTCAGGTGGCGTGTCTGTGCTCGCTGGGCTTTTTAAAATGGGCCCTCTCCCTCTGCCTCTGGATCTTGCCCTTTAATCGCCTGCACCCATCTGCAGAGATCAGCAGAGGCCCCGGTCATGGAGCAGAGGGTTTCTGTGTCTCCACATACGGGAACGCTCCAGAAGGCGTCCTGGGCAGGATGGAGGGACTAGTGGTCTCGGACAGGGCTGGGCTGGGCTGGCATCTCTTCCCCTTCTTGGGCCGGCCCAGTTCTTGGATTCTTGGCTAAAGAGCTTGAAAACAGAGGCGAGCCAATCGCATGCAACATAATAATTATATTCACGATAATAACAGTAAATAGTGATGGCTACTCATTATTTCGTGTTTGCATGTTACAAGCACTATGCTGGAAGTTACCATGTTATCTGATAGTATTGCTCCAAAACTGACAGACCTGGGTTTAAATCCCAACTCAACGGCTATGTGATACCAGGCACAGGACATCTTTTTGAGCCTCAGTTTTCTCACTGTAAAAGGGATATAAAGATAGTACCCCCCTCGTAGGAGTATTGTGGAGATTAAATGAGATAATGTATATGAGTTGCATTGTGCAGAACGTGACACACAGCACTTGATAATTTTTAAGGAAGTTTTTTCCTTCTCATTTAATTCTCATTTAAACCCAGGGGTGGGCAAACTTTTTGACTCGAGGGCCACAATGGGTTCTTAAACTGGACCAGAGGGCCGGTACAAAAGCATGGATGGAGTGTTTGTGTGAACTAATATAAATTCAAAGTAAACATCATTACATAAAAGGGTACGGTCCGGCCCACAGGCCGTAGTTTGCCCACGGCTGTTTAAACCTAATAAGGAAGCTGTTACCTCTTTTACAGATGAAGAAACTGGTACTCAGAGGGATTACGTGATTTGTTAAAAGTAAAAAACTAATAAGTGAAAGAGTTGAGATTTGAACACACATCTTTCTGCATCCGTTCTTTAGGATTAGACTATGTTAGGGACTGTCCTGTGGTCAAGTTCCGCCTGACCACTGGCCCCTTACCAGCTGTGTGACTGGGAAAATCTCTTCTCTCGGAGCCTCATTTTCCCTCTATGTAATACAAGACAAGATTAGTGATTCGCCATAAGGGCAGAGTTGCATGTTAAATCATCTAGGTTTTCTCTTCTAGATTACTTCTGGAAAAGAAACGTTCTTCCTCCAGACTTTATGATCTGCTCCCCTAAGGGATGGCACAGCCCTTCATCCCTCCCTGTCCGTTCCAGGATTATGACTGCCCGTGAGCCACTGTTTGAAAAGCGGTGACACTCCTGCCATATTGGGAGGAGTAAAGGTTAGGACCACTAAGGTACGTGTTAAGAGTTTACATATCCAGAAGGTTGTGCACTGCACAGTACAGTGCCATTTACAATACAGGACTTGCATTATTGGATGTGATGGCCGTGCTGACAGCCCTTCCTTTTCTAACACTTTCAGACTTTACAGTTACCTAAGATGTGATGCAAATCCATTGACCTATATGAAACGATTAAAAGGAGAGATGGCCCGGCTGGCATGGCTCAGTGGTTGAGCATCAGCCTATGAACCAGGAGGTCGTAGTTTGATCCGGGTCAGGGCACATGACTGGGTCGGCATGCAGGAGGCAGCTGATCAATGATTCCTTCTCATCATTGATATTTCCATCTCTCCCTCTCTCCTCCTCTCTCTGAAACCAATAAAAACATATTTAAAAAATAAATAAAAATAATAAATAAATAAAAGGACAAATGCTCAAATGTCAATGGTGCTTCTCTGTGGGCACCAAAGTGATAGAATGTAAATGTTTTCCTATTCCTCTCCCCAACCAAGTTGTCTACATTAATCTTGCATTGCTTTTATCATTAGAAATTCTAATACAAAACCCCAGTTTAAGTGTTATTAAGCCAAAATAAATGTTCATTGACTAAATGGTCCCTATTTTTCCTGGAACAAAAGTGCAGATAAGATAGTAAAAATTCAGAAACCTGGCTCAGAGTTTCCCTATGAAGCACATAAATGGAGAATGGAGGCCGCCCACCCTGCAGGCTCTAAGCAGTGAGTTCAGGAATCAGACCTGATCTTGACTTAATTAAAATTATCATTTATTGAGCACTTACTCTATGATACTTGCTTTAGATACGTCATCTCATTCCTCCCTGTAAAATAGGGTCACATTATCCACCCAGGAGACAGACTTGACTCCTGGAGTGTTGGCGAAGTTACTACAGGGTGTAAATTCTGGAGTTAATTGTCTAAGATCATGGACAAGCAACTTCACTTCCTTGGTACCTGAGCTCCTCCTTCATGAAATGATTGTTATGAGAATTAAAGGAGATAACACATGTCCTTAGTATGTGGTAGGCACAGTTATAGGGGCTTTATGTGTAGATCATGGAATTATCTTGCATCTTAGGAAGAAGTTGTCATTATCTTCACTTTACAGAAGAGAAACAGACTCAGTGAAGAGAGGTAACTGGTCACTTGGCTATCTACTTAGTGGCAGAGATAGAATCAAGCCGAGGTATGCCTTACCACAAGCCAGACGGTAGTCCTCTAAGTCTCTTGAATTCCTTTTTGGAACAAAGCCTAGGATGGACGGGTGGGTAGGAGGAAAGAGGGAAGGAAGAATGGAAAGAAGAAAAGTAGATAGATTGTTGATAGGTTTTATAAGGTAGGAAGGATTTGTAAGCTCTGGACTGTAGACACCACACAAGGAAAAACAAATTTCACGTGGCACTTGTCCCAGGTCTCAATGTAATAAATGCTCAATAAGTGTATGTTGAATAAATAAAAAATGGAGGGATGCATATAATTTACACAAGATAATTGACATTCTAGGCAAATCAGCTGTTCTAACCCCACCCCCCAGAGAAGACCTCCTACTAGTAGTTTGAATTCCTACTCTCCCTCTAATTAGTATATACATTTGGCCCAGTGACACAGTTCCGTAAGTTTCAATACGCTTCCCATCATCCCTCGGTGGGTTGGCCTGAGCACTAAATTAAATAAGATCTCAATGGAAAGCCAATGGCAAGTAGTAGGAACACAATAAATCATAGCTGGTGTTACAGGTGAGCACCAGCCTCAATACCCAGCACTCGGCACTGGCTCTCCCCTAAAAAACAGTCCCTTCCGTGTGCAAAGCGCTTTTCAGTTTACAAAGCGTCTTCCTAGGCTTTATCTCCTCTGAGAAAGCACGGGCAGGAGCATGTATTATTGGGCCCGTTTGATAGGTAAGCAGGTTTAGAGAAAGCTCCCCTACTGAAGCAAAGGAGTTCGGACCAGGACCTCAGATTTTGGATAAAGCTTCACCCTAGATATCATTATAGATCCTAATGGGTCCCAGCAGCACTATCCTGAGTGCACACCTAAAGCTCTGTAAGTGTTTCATCGTACTCTCTACTCTGCCACTGGACTTAAGTGGAGGGAGAGGCCACACACCCTACATAGAGAATAGGGCCCTAATGGAAGGCCTGGGAGGACCTGGAAGCTGTGCTTGTGGAGGGTCCGGACAAGGAGTGGGCAGCCTCTAGGCCCCTTTACGTTCTGTACTTTAGATTTTTATCACAGTTCTGCCAATAGCATCACCTACATTCCTTCCAGAGGTCCTTTGGACGTGAGGAATTGTTATGGGGTCTAAAGTTGTCCTAAAAGCTCCTTTTAAAAAAAAACAACAAGAGTCTCCCAATAACCTGGAAACAAACAAGCAGCTTTAAAAAAATAAAGATGCCGAAACCGGTTTGGCTCAGTGGATAGAGCGTCGGCTTGCGGACTGAAGGGTCCCGGGTTTGATTCTGGTCGGAGGCATGTGCCTGGGTTGCGGGCACATCCCCAGAAGGAGATGCGCAGGAGGCAGCTGATCGATGTTTCTCTCTCATTGATGTTTCTAGCTCTCTATCTCTCTCTCCCTTCCTCTCTGTAAAAATCAATAAAATATATTAAAAAAAAAATAAAGATGATAAGGATGAACGAAAATGCTAAACCCCAGTTCTGGCACGGGTGAGGGGAAAGCTCTCTCCTTGCCGGAGTGAGTGAATCAGTCCAAACTTTGGCCTCAGATTTTAGCTCAACTTTAAAAAAAAAAAAAAAAAAAAAAATATATATATATATATATATATATATATATATATATATATATATATATATATATATTTCAGAGAGGGAAAGAGAGAAACATCAATGATGAGAGAGAATCATCAATTGGCTGCCTCCTGCTCGCCCCCGCCCCCACCGGGGGTGGAGCCCGCAACACAGGTATGTGCCCTTGATGGGAATTGAACCTGGGACCCTTCAGTCCGCAGGCCAACGCTCTATCCACTGAGCCAAACCAGCCAGAGCTTAGATCATCCTTTGATCTAGCAATTTCACTCACAGGAATTCAGTCTAAGCAAATAATCTCTGTGTGCAAAGAGTTATCTGCAAGGATATGCATCAGAGCACTGACTATAATCCTGAAAAATTAGAATGAATATAAATGCCCTTCAGCAGAGGCTCAGTGAGGTAAGTTAGAAGCCTGACTATAGGTGCACACTGGGCCGCAGTGTAAAAGGATGCTACGGCAGGCCCCTTAGCACCATGGAAGTTACTTCCTGAGCTTACAGCACAATTGGCAGCACTGTGAGTCCTTACTATGTGTGAGGCACTGGGCTCAGTGTGTAATCTCATTCAAGCCTCACAATGGCCCTGTAAGGAAGTACCGTTATCCTTATTTCAAAATGGAAAAGGTGAGATCCAGAAATGAAACAATGGACCCAAGGTTATTTCCAGGAAGTTTCTGAGCTGGGTCTCACCCGAGGATATTTTTCCATTGAAGGGAGAGGGAGAGACACAGAGAGAGATACATTGATTGGTTGCCTCCTGCATGCGCCCCATTCGAGCCTGCAACCGAGGTATGAGTCCTTGACTGGAATTAAACCCAGGACCCTTCAGCCTGGATAGGGTCAACACTCTATCCACGGAGTCAAACCAGGTAGAGCCCTTTAAGTATTTCACTTACCTTTAGAAAATTGGTCCATTCCTATTTTTAAAACCCATTTATGTGACTAGAGAAGGTACAGGAAAAATACACACCAGAATATCATAAAAATTGGGGGCCCCCTGGAAATAACAGAATCCAGCTGGCTCTGCCCCACAGGCCCACTCTTCCCAGGGACCTGGCCTGGGACCCTAGAGGCTCACCCACTGTTGCAGGCCACCACCACTCTGCACCTTAAAAAGGCCAGTAGACAAGATACTGCCCACTTCCAAATACAAGAGGGCTTCGCTGAGAAAACCTGCTTACCACCCCTACCCCCCACCCCCCGCGCCACCACCATGGCAGACACTACAAATGTATTTCTCCGTCTTCCATCTATCTCTAGGGGTCAAACTGGGGACTTGGAGGGTTCGAGTGAGGGTTTCCTTGAGGAACTATAGGGGGAAGGGCCCAATGCCTGGCTTGGACAGAGAGGGTCCTGGGGCCCTGGGCCCAGTGCTGAGCAGGAGGGAGTGAGTATCTGGGGTCAGAGCTGCCTCTTGGTTAGAGTGAGGTGGGCTAGGGTGGAGTGGGTAGCGCAGGACTGGGCAGGGTCTGCTCCCAGGCTCAGAGAGGTTCAAGTAGGCACAATTAACCCATAAGCCCCCTTCCTATTCTCTCAAAGGTTGCCCTGGTGTTTGCTTAGATCCCACTGGAGGTGGGATGAGAGGGAGAGATTTGCTAGGGCCTCTGGGCCCCACACCTTCTTAGGAAGGCAGAGGCCCTGTGAGGGGTTAAGTGCTCAACCTTGGACCTTGGACATTCAGGTGATGGTTTCTCTAAGTCCGAGGCTGGCCTGCCAGGAAGATTTTTAAGGCTGTAAGTTTGGGGGCAGGTGGTTGAGCAGAAGGGGAAAGACTTAGAAACTGGCCTGGAAGAACTAAGATGAGGCCCCTTTGGCTGTCCCCTCAAGAAGGCAGCCACTCAGAAGTCACCACCAATCTCCCCATGCTCCCATTTTTTGAGCATTTAACTATGTAGAAGACTCTGTGCCAAGCACTTGACCTGCCCTGTTTCCCTCAGTCCTTAAAACTACCCAAGGATTTAGATATAGTCACCACCTGTTTTACAGATGTGGAAGCTGAGACTTAGAGGCTGGACTTAGAGAACTTGATCAGGCCAAGCTGGCATTTGCCCAGAACCACCACTTTGCTTTCTCAACAAGCAGCTGTTCAGTAAACAGGACCTGCTCTGGTCAAGCATCTGTAGCACAGGCTGCGCAGAGAAATGAGTAAGGTCTGTTCCTTCCCACAGGGAAGCCTGGTGGGAGAACCCCAATCAGCCCCTCTGTTCTGGAAAGCCTTTCCTCCTCTAGCGACAACTGGATTTCTGCAAAATTCGTTTCATTATCAAATTGCACAGATTCTCGTGTTGGAGGACTCCATGAGAGTTCCCCAGTCTCACCTTCCAGGTGAGGCAGGAATTTGTACTGCAAAGCACCTGCCCCAACACACACACCACACACCACACACACACACACACACACACACACACACACACACACACACACGCTTGTAGTTGAGAGCTTGGATTCTGGACCCAACTAGTTGAGTTCAAATCTTGGCCCTACCATTTACTACTTGTATGACCTTGGACAAGTCTTT